TTTCATTAAATACGTCAGGCTAAGAACTTTTCAAATGACCCTCGTATGTCTATGTTGAGTTTGTTTGTTTGTATGTTATTATTTAAGAATTAATTTATTATTTTGTTTAATTTGCCGCATTCGTGAATTTCGTTTTCCTCAAAGGTTGACTGGTCTTTTTTGGTATTTTATAGTACTTTGTTATTAATATATTTTTCTAAATTTTCTGTATTATCTTTCAGGCAAAAATCCAAAAACACCAAGCATTCGAAGCAGAAGTGGCAGCTCATTCCAACGCTATCGTTGTCTTGGACAACACCGGTACCGAGATGATTTCCGGAGGTCACTTCGCGTCGGAGACGATTCGCAAGCGGCTCGACGAGTTGCACCGTCTATGGGAGCTGCTGCTCTCGCGGTTGGCTGAAAAGGGAATGAAACTGCAGCAGGCCTTAGTGCTTGTTCAATTCTTGAGACATTGCGATGAGGTTATGTTCTGGATTCATGACAAGGTGGGTTAAATGATGATTTGAAATTCTATTTTTATTTAAACTATTAACATTGTATCGAATATGAGTTGATTCATTAGCGTATGAATCAAACCCTCTTACCAACTCAGGCTTTTCATTGATTATCTCACTTCAAATAAATTTGTATGCATTACAAATTCAAATCACTCTATGCATACTTTGCTTCTTCCTTCCTAATGTTTACAACAAAAGAATGGATTTTACTTACTTTGTTTCCGGACGACTTCAAGTTTAGGCTACACAAGGCTAAAGTGAATAGGAATTTTTTTAACCGACTTCAAAAAAGGAGCAGGTGAACTAGGCAAACTGATTTCAATATTACTTGAGATCGGTTTTTTTTATAGAAAAGTTATTAGACAAACCCTTACCACGGTGGGTCACAGTGTTGCATTTGAATTGCACATAGTAAAAAATGTATTATATTATGTAGGAAACGTTTGTATGCGCGGACGAGTTCGGGTCTGACCTAGAGCACGTGGAGGTGCTGCAGCGCAAATTCGACGAGTTCCAAAAGGACATGGCCGCGCAGGAGTACCGCGTCACCGAGGTCAATCAACTCGCCGAGCGGCTCGTGCTCGAAGGACATCCCGAAAGGGAGACCATTGTGAAGAGAAAGGACGTAAGTAAAGTTTTTCGTCACCATCTTCAGCTGGATTTACAGTTTTCCCGAAACCTTCACCAGGTCTATGAAGTTTAGTTTAAACGAAAATGACTTAACCATTTAAATGTAAATTAAAATCACAAAAGGTACTGAATATTTGCGCAGGAGCTGAACGAAGCTTGGCAGCGCCTGCGTCAAATGTCGCTGATGCGCCAAGAGCGTTTGTTCGGTGCTCACGAGATCCAGCGATTCAACCGCGATGCTGACGAAACCATCGCATGGATCTCCGAGAAGGATGTTGTGCTCGGTTCTGACGATTATGGAAGAGACTTGGCAACCGTTCAAACTCTGCAGGTATGTGGATCATGTTGTCGGTCAATCTATATATCTAAAATGAATACATTTTAAAAGTATTTTTAACCGATTTCAAAAAAAAGGAGTAGGTTCACTATTGGACTGTACTTTTTTGTAGGTATGTTACGAGTTTTTTTTTTGTTGGAAAGAGCGTACCTTAGTTTTGGTCCCGTTTAAATTTGAAAGAAATATTCCACCTCTAAGGGTAGCAAACTAGGGGATGAATCCGGTTTCGCGCACTTTCTTATAACTGATTTCAATAAAACTTGGCAAATAGACGTAATTCCACGAACTTTTAAGGTCGGTTTTTTAAATAAAACACTTACAATTTTAAATTAATGCCAATAGATGTCGCTATGTGTCTTTATAATCGATGAATAAATAGTCTTTGTATTTCAATAAATACGTTTATTGATACAAAGATCGAACAAACAAAAAAAAAACCGCTGATCCGACTGGACCAGCGTCTACTGCCTCATCAGATCGAATCAGCAGATATTGCGATTTTTTCTATGTACCCGTTGCAGATCCTCGTATTGCATTTAAACGATTATGTTTTGCCGTGTATAAAAACTTACTGAAATATGGTATAAATTCCAGCGCAAACACGAAGGCGTGGAGCGCGATCTGGCTGCTCTGGAAGACAAGGTGTCGACCCTGGACGGCGAGGCAGCGCGTTTGGCGGCCATCCACCAGGACCACGCACCTGCTATTCATGCCAAGCGCGATGAGATCACCGCCGCTTGGCAGACGCTCGTGCAAAAGGCCAAGGTAAATTGACTTGACATACAGTTTTTCGCATTTTAGGATATTTCACGGTCTAATTTCTAATATAGTTACGAAATAATTATGAATATTGAAATGTCAGTAAGTATGCACACACACACACGCCAACATTACATACTGAACATTTGTTGTTATTTCCTATTTTAAATATCATTCTATCGTATTTAACTAACTTGTAATAACTTTGTTTTTGTTTGTTTTAACTGATTTATTGTAAATTTTCAGTTTTAAGCTTAGGGAAGTTGCAAGGCTTTCCCAACACAAGCATACATTTGCTAAATGGGAGAACCTGATCTACCACTATTGAAGAAATTGAAAAATAAAATTACTAAATTTAGAAATGAATGTGCAAACAAGGTTTAATAAACGCATGGATGGGTTTTAAAAACTCACAGAATTATATAAAATATCAAGAAATCACTGGGTTCTGGTGTGAAACCAGATAATTGATTATCTATATGGAGTAACACACTACACTATAATAACATCAATGTTCAATAATATGATTATTTGGCATAGTAATAAACAAACTATAATGTTAGCATTACCACTACCAATTGGTATTGCAATAAATAGAGTAAATTCATTTGTTAGTTGGTTATAATAAGGTTCACTTTTGTAGTTTGTATATGTTGTTCGAAGAGTCCTGAATAACTGGTGTGCTACAGGGCGGTGAAATATGTACGTAATTATCTATAGTAATCTCAACATCATTGATTGCTATATTTGTTCGTGTCGATGTCCAGGAGCGCCGCAGCGAGCTGGAATCATCGCACGCGCTGCACCGCTTTCTGGCGGACTACCGGGACCTGATATCGTGGGTGAGCGACATCCGCACGCTCATCGCCGCGGACGACCTCGCCAAGGACGTGCCCGGAGCCGAGGCTCTGCTCGAGCGGCACCAGGAGCACAAGGTACTGTATACACGTCGGGGACGGGAAGTTCGAATCGGTGGTACGGTCACAGTTTTAAAAACCATACAGTTGCGCAGAACAACGAAGGGGTACTCGAGGGGGGTCGGGCGGCTTCGGCCGATGCGAGCGAACGCGCTGAGTTTGCTTGACGAGCGCCAAGGGTTGACGTACGTGAATGATTTAAAATAGTTTTACATACTAGTGACTTCTACGATCGTTTCATGAGTATATAATGCACAACTGGTCTATGTACGATTGTAAATTGACAACGAAATACAACAGGGATTTAAAATTTTACGGATTTGTATTACACTTTTACTGGTAGATTATAGAGCACAAACCAATATAATATTTTAAACCCTTATGTTATTACCTATAGTCATGCAATAAATGTATTCTTATTCTGACGCGAGGTAAGTTTTTCCTATAATTTTGTAATACTTGCCTACCTATATAATATCTATTTATAAAAGTAAAGTGTATGTGTAATGAAAAAAAAAGTAAATTCTCCTATGCCGCAGAAACCAAAGCAGCCGAGATGATTATTTCAACTTCTATCGTAGGTCGTGAAAGACAAAAACGTATATAATAAATTATGTATGTGGCTTATACTTCGAAGGATGGATGTGTATTAAAAATATATTTATAAAAATCACTGCTATTACCGCTTTAAAACTGTTCATCTGAATGCAAATATTTAATTATTTTTTTAACAATAACTTCATTATTGTGTTTTCAAAAATAATAAATGGTTACGTTAATGATAATAATGAAATTTTTTTGCGTTGTGTGACAACCCTTGCACATCTGCGCATAACAGCACGAAGTTCAAGTAGTACTGCGGTGCGGTGGTGATAACGGAGACCGTTGCAGGGCGAGATGGACGCCCGCGAGGACGTGATCCGCGCGTGCGCGCTGGCGGGGCAGGCGCTGGTGGCGGGCGGGCACCGCGCCTCGCCCGAGGTGGCCGCGGCGCTGGACAACCTGCAGCGCGAGCACGCCGCGCTGCAGCAGCTGTGGGAGCAGCGCCGGGTGCTCTACCTGCAGTGCATGGACCTGCAGCTCTTCTACAGGGACACCGAGCAGGCCGACGCCTGGATGCACAAGCAGGAGGTACGCTCTTCTGCTACTACTACTACTACAGCTCGTTCCTAAGCCAGGTTCCCATGAGAGATACATTACAATACTATATTCAATTTAAACGTCTCAGATCGAGACATGCAAGAGCTAAACGGGCAGAGGCTTTAGTATAAACTTTTTGTTTCATTACAGTATTAAACCTCGTAAATGGCAAATTTTGAATGTTAATCGGAATCTTATTATAGAAGCATATAAATTGTCCTTAAATGTAGTATAAAAAGCGATCGCTTTTTAACCTGCTCAGGGCATTTTGGTTAGTCATCTTCTTCCAGCCTGTTAACCGCGTAAAACGAAAGACAACCTTGTATATATAACCAGTATTTGTAATAAATGTCACCCAAAAGTAACAGGTTATTAATAGAGACAGTGCTTTAAACGGCAATACCGTGAAAACTTTCAGTTTAAACGACAACACTGTCTCAGGTAACATGTTAATTAGTGAAAATATTGGTTTAAATAACAGCATACATATCTTTCGTATTACGCAATCAACTTACTCTATTGTATATTGGTTGCCAACCACATAAAATTCCGACTTTATATATTAGACTTGGAACCGTAACTTAGAACGTGATATTTTTATGGAATTGTCGTTACGATTTGTATTAAAATAAACATGATAAATGATAGATATGAATCTAAACTATGTACACAGCACCATAGCTCCTAGGTGGCGTTAAACCGTTTTTTTTTTGTATTTTCTAAAACGCGCCATAAAGAAGTTGTCAAAGTTGTAAAACTGTCCAGTGATTTACAATATAGGAATCTCCCCTAGTTCAGCGTTAGATTATCTCCTTTTGCACGTCCTTCTATCGCAAGTAGCGCCTTGAGCTGAGGTGCGTGTCCACCTGGACGCCCTCAGGCCTGCTACTTGCCCTTTTATGTGATAGTCAGTCCATCAGGGGTCAACTGCAAAAATAGCTTTAAAAAGCAAAGAACTTTGCCATTGGAACATCTCTTTGTTTCATTGGGTTATTTTTAGGACCTTATACAATAATTATAAACCAGGCATCATAATAGCTATAACAATTATCACAAAATATCTGACATAATAAAATTATATTGAAATTCTGTTCGCAGGCCTTCCTTGCCAATGAGGATGTGGGAGACTCCCTAGACTCAGTAGAAGCGTTGTTGAAGAAACACGAGGACTTCGAGAAGTCCTTGGCGGCGCAAGAGGAAAAGATCAAGGCATTGGACGAGTTCGCTTCAAAACTTATCGAGGGTCAGCACTATGCTGCTGACGACGTCGCCCAAAGGCGTGAAATGGTGAGTCTAGTTTCTACAGAATATCTACGAAGCTTGACGCCTAAGACTTATTAATTTTGTTTATTTTATATTCACTACTACACTTGTAGCAAATTAGCAAAATAGTGTTAAAATGAATAACGTGCACAGTCATATTGGCAATTTACGAGCCATTTGGCATATATGGCATTTGATATTTTTTTACGTTACATTCTTTGTTTTCGTTTTTATTTTCATATATTGCATTAAGCCGGTCGGAAAAAGGTTATGTCCATGTAACAAGAGTAAAAAAGACTGTATCACGTTACGGCCTTCGCGGTCTTATTGCGTGTAGCTTTTTCTGATCGGCTGAAGCTGATTCCGTGTTAATAAGTGTAGTGACTCCCTTATTGAAAGTGCCAAAAGGTCTATTGTGATCTAAACTCATAATATAATTTCCAGCTGTTGGAACGCCGCGCAGCTCTTCTTGAGAAGTCCAACCAACGTCGTGTGCTGCTTGAAGACGCCTACAAGTACCAGCAGTTTGAAAGAGACTGCGATGAGACCAAAGGTAAGCACTTGTAGTGAATAAACAATAACATCCGGTAAATTCGGGAATCATGAATATTTCCAAATGCTGTTGTCGCGTCTATAAGTTGTCGTATTGATGTATTTGAACGCTAACAGAGCTACAATCTTTGGCGCTAACTTCGTATCATGACGCCTTTATTCCACTGTGGTAATTAGTAATTAGAGACTGTGGAACTCCACTCTTTAATTTTAAATGTAATCAACATAATAATAATATTAAATATTCATTCGAGGCATCCGCGCTCCGAGCGGGTGGCGGGAGTAGAAATAAAACAAAAAACCTGTTAACCGCTCTAGGGCCGTATGATAAAAAAATGGCCTAGTTTTGGTGCCCGTTATACTACTACTTACATGAGCAAGTATGGTGAAAAATATCTAAACTTTTTACGAACATCATCCGTATTAAATATGCACTCTCAATAGTTTTCAGTTTAATTCTAGTTTTGAACAAAAGTGCACATATTTCATTTTAATAAGGTTTTTTTTTCAAACGTACATGGACGTTTGTTATTAGTTAGAAAGAAAGAAAGAAAGAAATGTAATTTATTCAGCACAATACACGTGGAGTACAATATTAATAATTAGTATTAAAAGTGTATTATTGCACTGAATAGGACCCAGCTCAGCTAATACTGCGGCAGGGCCACAGCGCTGGTTTTCAGTGGACCCTTTTCGAAAATGTTCGTTTAAAGGCTGACCTTTTGATTGAGGGTAACCATGCATTGAAGGAAATCTAATGTTAAGATGTCTGATGTGTTGCTTTCAGGGTGGATAAATGAGAAGCTGAAGTTCGCGACTGACGACTCGTACTTGGACCCAACGAACCTGAACGGCAAGTTGCAGAAACACCAGAACTTCGAGCAGGAGCTGCAGGCGAACAAGCCTCGCATTGACGAGATCACCGCTGCTGGCGCTCAGCTTTTGGACCAGGAACACTTTGCTAAAGGTCAGTATAACCATAGTAAAAAAGAGAAGTATGGTAACTCCGCACAAAGTAACAGCGCGGCTTGTATGTGTACGCGACCGCCGCTTGCCGTGTACGGACGCACCACATTCGCATAATAATGAAAGGTGCGTTGGGACGACCAGTGTTGTGCAACGCAATTGCGACGCAAGATTATGCGAATATGAGCGTTCTAGTTTTATTGACATTCCCTCTTGTTTTATTCCGTTGTCATTTTTGAAGTCTCAAGTGAACTGTAGCAGCTACTCACTGTTGCAATTTGTTGTACAGCTCAAATCGAGTCCCGCGTAGCCGACATGGCAGGTTTATGGGAGAAGTTAGTGGCCGCGAGCGAGCTGAAGGGCAACAAGCTGCAGGAGGCTGCTCAGCAACAGCAGTACAATCGCACCGTCGAGGACGTCGAGCTTTGGCTCTCCGAGCTGGAGGGACAGCTGCTCTCCGAGGATTATGGCAAGGTGGGTTGAGGCTATGTTGTCACCGTTGTTATGTTTCACATTGGCCTAAAGTGACAACCGTTGCAAAGCATTGAAAAGCGGTGGCAACCGTTAGTTGTGTAGAACGCAACTGCAAGCGTGCATACAGCTCCGGTACCTATCTGGAAAACAGGGAGGGTGCTGTACGTGCACCTGGGCACTAGCCTTTTGAGAGCTGGATGAAGTCCGTGCAAACGGGCTGATCTGGGCTTAGGACCTGACTTAGATGGTTCCTGTACGGATTTTAGGGACACAGTATCGAATCAAAAGTATCGTACTCATAAAAGTATCGATACATTTGTCCTGCCGATTTTCACCACTTAAAGGCACAATAAAACGCATGAATTTGTATTTTTTTTATTGATTTATGATTTTTAATTGAAACAATAAAAGAATTTGATTAATTGAATCAATTGGTCAATTCAATCAATCGTCATTTCACATAATTTGTGTTACTTAAATTTCCAATTACCCCACACCTCCTCTGTTCACATGAAAAAAAAAAATTTTGGTGACGGTCTGTTTCTTGTTTTGGATACTGTATTGCCTGCTTTTGAGAACAAACGTTCTGAAGAAGGGACAAACTTCTTTTAAAGAGGCATGGCATACAACCAAGTAATTTGTGATAAAGGTTGCCATTTAAAAGAAAATCACTAGGTGGCTTGCGTTATGATATGAGGTGTCCTAAGTAGGAATTATTCGAAACGATGCAATACTTGTCCAAAAGTACTAATACTTGAAAAGTATCGAGTACAAAAGTATCGGTATCGGAGGGAAAAGTACTCGATACCAAAAAGTATCGATATTTTTTCCGTGTCCCTAGGAGTGTCACTATGAACTAAACTTATGTAGAAAGATATAGGGCTGGCCGATTCACATGATGCGCTTTACTTAGAGTTTAGTTGCAGTAATTTACATAGAAGATTTATGAATCTCTGAATTTTGTTTTAATTATAATTTTCGAATCTCGTGTATTAGTAATATCATCATATTAGTTTTTGTTTGCATACACCCATACGTAAAATGTATACGGTTTAAAACAGAACTGTAATAAAATATTTAATACACACACAGACATACATACACATTGCTAAGGTAATATAATATATTTTCTTATTGATCAGATGACCTTATTTAATTATTTTTACATAAAGTTTAGTATGCAATCAAAAGCATCGCAGTGTCAAAATTTAAAACAAAGAATAAAGAAAAACAAAAAGTATAGATGGAAACATTTTGTAATAACAAACCCACTATTGACATATAAAGGTATCTCGTTCACCTTATTAAGCGATCGATCCAATATCACAATATCAGGCTTATTCGCAACAATAGTCCTGTTCGTGATAATGGATCGATCCCAATAGATTTTGGTACGGTCATCTTCGAGTACTGGCTCCGGTGAATACTTGTAATATAGCAACCTCTATTGCACGAGTCTGCGCTTCAGAGCGAATCTTGGTGTAATATTTTGGCTGTCTGGTTGTGTTAGTATTATTATTTTCTCACCTTTCATCCATGGCCAACCGTTTCGAGCGAGCTCATTCTTCGACCGAGTGTCGATACCTCGTAAAAAGCGAAACACGTGTAGAGTATATTTTTGGTAGTGATGCTTGTGATTGCAGTTGCGTTTGTGCTATTTATTTAATTAATTTCATGCAGAGAGAGGGTGGGAAAGATAACTGCGTAAAAAATTCAACACAAGCGCACCTATTTTGCACGGTCTAACTTTCACTGGGTTCGCAGAGTAGCTAACTAATTTACTTAAATTTTTATCGTTTGAATTATGCATTTTTTGTTTTAAGGGTAACAACTGTAACCACCGGGTGGTGGTAGAATGCACCTGATGAAAAGAGACAATGAGATCGATAATTTAGCTTACTCACTCTCGTCATATATTTACATACACATTAATTACTTTTGGATGAGTTTAGCGATTAAAAACTGTTGTCATATAAGTAAAAAAAAAAAATATTTAAATAATTATGTTTCTTCCCCAAAAGGACCTCACCAGCGTCCAGAATCTACAAAAGAAGCATGCTTTACTCGAAGCCGATGTGAGCTCGCACGCGGAACGCATCGAAGCCATAAAAAGCCAAGCCGAGCAGTTCATCGAGAAGGGGCATTTTGACGCTGACAATATCAAAGCTAAGAGAGTAAGTTGTTTTTATATAACTTTATTTCCTTGCAGACGCTGTACCGCTCCTTGACTCGGTTCTGTTAAATATGTTTGCTTACACATACTGGAAAGTATTTGCATTACTTTCAGTAAGTACCTTCAAAGTTTGTCATACATAGAGCTCTTTCTAATATATACTTTTTATTTTTTGTATTTGTTCTTTATTTATTTTTTTCATTGTTATGAATTTTCCTAGGACGCCTTAGTAGCCCGCTACACTGCCTTGGACAAGCCGATGGCGATCCGCAAGCGTCGTCTGCTAGACTCGCTGCAGGCTCAACAGCTGTTCCGCGACCTTGACGACGAGGCTGCCTGGATCCGTGAGAAGGAACCCATCATCGCCTCGACTAACCGAGGTAACTTGTTAAGGGGAAAACAGACCTTAAAACAAATAGAAATGTATAAAATCACACAGTTCTCAGCCCTTGGAAACCCACCTCTTTAGAGAAGTCCCTTACCCGGCACTGGGACTTATAGGATAATATACAATTTGATAATGTGCTAGAGAAACACATCAATTATCTGTTCTCAAACTGGGGAATCCACTGTATTATGAGTGCCAGAACAGGCGTAATCACTCCAGGTCACTACAAAGACCAGAACCAATTTGGAAATGTTCATTTCTCAAATTGGTCCTACCGGAAAGCGGGCTCGATACTTCCTCATTCGGCGCCCACTTATAAGAACAGCTACGCTCATGTAGAATCGAATATAAAAGAACGGCTGGCGCAGGTCGCGACCTGATCGGCGTGCAGAACCTGATGAAGAAGCACCAGGCCGTGATGGGCGAGATGGCGCAGCACGAGGCGCGCGTGGACGCCGTGCACGCCGCCGGCACCGCGCTGCGCGACGCGGGCCACTTCGCCGCCGACGAGATCGCCGCCCGCCTGCACCAGCTGCAACAGCAGTGGTCACAGCTGCAGGAGAAGGCGCTCCAGGTAAATCGTTTCGCGACGTGACCGACTCAGTGACCGATGACCGTGACCGATCTCTGGACAACAGCATCTGGTGTCCATTTTTTAACCTTCACGTTTATCTTATTCAGCGCAAACAAGATTTAGAAGACTCCTTACAAGCGCAACAATACTTCGCGGACGCCAACGAAGCCGAGTCGTGGATGCGGGAGAAGGAGCCGATGGTGACTGCTCAGGACTACGGCAAGGATGAGGATTCTTCGGAGGCGCTGCTCAAGAAACATGAGGCTCTTCTATCCGATCTCGAAGCTTTTGGGAACACTATCAAATCGCTGAGGGAACAGGCGAACGCTTGTCGCGTAAGTCTTAAATCATACACAAGTGATAAATGTATACCAATGTTTTCCTTTACTGTTAGGGAGCGGTGTTGCTACTAAACACAGAACAATAAGTACAGTAGAAATGGTTAGTTAGCGTCTCACGCGTGTCAACTGTAGTCACATTGTGGCTATTTGAACTTTGTCCGCCATTTTCGCTTTTTACGGTGTGGTTGTGTCAATTCTTTCAAAGGTCAAAATTCCGTCTTACATCTAGGTGACGCTGACCAGAGTCAATGACAATAACATAATTTAGTAATAATTGGAACGCCGTAACATTCATTTTTGGCAAAAGTTTACGTCCTGTCACAATCTATCGATTAAACTGTCGACAACAAGTACATGACGTTTTAAAATTTTGTGAAAACAGTTACCTGCAAACATTGATCCGCGCTAAAAAGTGTCCGAACTTATAGGGCGTTAAAATCATATACAGAGCGTCTTTCACGCTCTAGTCTTCGTTTGTTCGACTGACAGCAAAGCAAGCAAAATTAGACAGTACTGCGATGACATTACAATTTAAATTCAACGTTTTAGCTTTTTCATATTCATTTACATGTCACTACGTTTAAATAGGTTGACTTGGGACATTTTTTTCGTGGTTTTTGTATTAGACCCATCGTCCATTTATTTGTAAGTCAATGCCTGCAAATGTCATTTTACTCCGTCTTCGAAAAAGACAGACCATGCCTATATAGATACCAGAACAAATACAAATAAATAAAACTATATTGATTATATTAATGTGTATAATACTTAAAAACATGTTTACATAGATTGTAATAATATGTTACATCAATAATAATTTCTCTATTGTTAAAAATGCTTTCCTCTCATTCGACAGGCTCCATAAATGCTATCTGTATTGTGTTTTGTAACACTTTGTTACATGGCGGTAAAGTGTGGAATATTGAGTAATTTACACCACTTGGAAATTAAAAACAAATTTTTATTACATTTAATAATTACACGTGGAATCAAAATGTGATGTGTAAAATATTTCTGCAGCAACAAGAATCTCCGGCAGTGGACGTGTCGGGCAAGGAGTGCGTGGTGGCCCTCTACGATTATGCGGAGAAGTCACCTCGTGAGGTCTCCATGAAACGGGGCGATGTGCTCACTTTGCTCAACTCTAATAACAAGGTAAGATTACTTTTAGTCACAAGAATAAGCCATATTTCCATTTAAGTGTGCATGCTACATCGTCGACCTTATCACCGCTTTCCATTAGGTGAGATGGAGGTCAAATGCGCACTTATTTATATAAAAAAATAATATTTTTGTACGTTGTGACTATGACTCGCTTTAATTTTTTGTCTCTTATTGATTTTCAACAAATAATGAAACAGAAGAACAGATATTAGGGTATGATAGTTAGTAAGTTATTACTAATAATAAGATATGTCTCTTACGCATAAGATGATACAAAATCCCTACGAATCCTGTCTACCAATATTAATTTTCCGTTTCGTCGCCTTACTTTCTTAAACTCGTATCTTAAAGCACGAAGTTACTGAAATGCAAAAATTGCATTGTGTATACAAATTTTGCAGGCTAATTTCACATGGCATTTCCTTCATATTCACCATTGACTTACAATTATATGAACGTCGGGTCCGCGCTAAAACGTGTCCGAACTTATAGGGTGTTAAAATCGTATACAGAGCGTCATTCACGCTCTAGTCTTCGTTTGTTCGACTGACAGCGAAGCAAGCAAAATTAGACAGTACTGCGATGACATTACAATTTAAATTCAACGTTTTAGCTTTGTCATATTCCTTTACATGTCACTACGTTTAAATAGGTTGACTTGGGACATTTTTTTCGTGGTTTTTGTATTAAACCCGTCGTCCATTTATTTGTAAGTCAATGATATTCACACACTAATTTTTACCTATTCTTAAAGTATTGCATCCAAATTGACTTTATTAACCCTTGATAACAAATTTAAAACAAATGTAAAGTTTTGCCATCTCCTGAATCATTCTAATAGGGGTTAAAGTATGAAATTGCCGATTTGTACTGAAAATCTAAATTGTTTATTTTTTAAATTTTTAACAAATTTATTTAATCAAAATAGTTGCCATTATTATCTATACATTGCTGCCATCTAATGGGAAGGTTATTAATGCCTTTGCGATAGAACTCCAACGATCTAGACTGCACAAACTGTGTGAAAGCATTTTGTACTGCCTCCTGGGAAGAAAACTTCTTGTCACGTAGATAATTGTCCAAATCACGAAAAAAATGGTAGTCCGTTGGAGCAAGGTCTGGTGAATACGGAGGATGACGAATGGTTTCTAACTGCAGTTCCTGAAGAGTCAAAATGGTTTCTCGTGCTGTGTGAGGCCTCGCGTTGTCGTGGAGCAATAATGGTGAAGATCGATTCATGAGTCGGGGCTGTTTTACTGCTAGTTTTGTCAACATGGTTCGGAGTTCGGCACAATAGACATCTGCCGTTATTGCTTGACCAGATCGGAGAAAACTATAGTGAATAACACCATGCTGAGACTACCAAACAGTTACCATTACCTTTTTATTGGTAAGTTTTGCTTTAGGACACTGTTGTGGTATTTGACCTGGGGTCAGCCATTGCATTTTTCTTTTCCGGTTATCATAAAGAATCCACTTTTCATCACATGTTACAATTCGATCCAATATTCCTTCATTTCTGTACCGGTTCAACAAGGCAACACAAGTTTCAACACGCGTTTCTTTCTGCAGATCAGTCAAATCATGAGGCACCCATTTTTCGTATTTTTTTATTTTATTGATTTGACGCAAGTGAGTCAATATTGTGGGTAAGGTAACGTTAAACCATGCCGCTAATTCCTGGGTAGTTTGACTAGGATCGGCTTCCACTATCTCTCTTAATTCATCGTTATTCACCTGTGTGGGTGGTCTTCCTCGTGGCTCGTTCTTTAAGTCGAAATTTCCGTCACGAAAGCGTTTAAACCAAAATCGCACGGTGCGTTCATTAGTAGACCCCTCTCCAAACGCAGCATTGATATTGCGGGCTGTTTCTGCCGCGTTAGTTCCGCGTCGGAACTCGTATTCAAAAATCACTCGAATTTTCGCAGTATCCATCTTTCTTGTCTAAATTGAATAACAAAAACAATTGAAAGTCGATATTCAAATGTTCCAAATTTAAAAAAAAAAAAATCACAGAAACCATTTGAAAAAAGTTTCATTCGAAAACCTCAAACCATGAAGATTCTATGAAAATTCAAAGAACCTATTGCAATAAAACGGCAATTTCATACTTTAACCCCTAATATATAAGATACTTGTTTGAGAAAGTAAGGCATTGATAGTGTAAATATTATAATGTTTTACTACCATGATGTTAATTTTAATATAAATCTCACCTGTCCATAAATAACTCTAACTTTTAACTGCCTCCGTGGCCCAACGGTTACCATACCGGACTGCCACGCAGAGGTCCCCGGGTTCGATTCCCGGGCCGGGAGAAATATTTGTATGGCCTACATTTATTTCTCTCGTGAGTTTGGGTGTAATTTGTGGTTGTCCATGTGTGTGTCCATGGCACCCGCGACACAGGGTTTCCCTAGTGCGGGGCTATGTTGAGTGTGTGCGTTATTATTATTATTATTATTATTAACTGTTACAGGAGTAAGTCAAACTATATACCACCAGGAGCTCGACTTGTTCGTCCCGACACTTGGTATCCAAAAAAAAAGAAACACTGTTTTGTATCGGGCTTTTTAAAGTTCCAATTTAAGTTTTTCATGTAATATCAATATGTTTCTGCGTACATTCTTGTTAATACCGTCGCGTGGGTCACTCTGTCAAATTATTCTTTCTATCTGTCTCTAACCCCAAATCGCAAAAGCCTCTAATTATCCCCCATAGATAACACTGTTATTCTATCAGTTTTTATCACACGTCTTATCAACACAATTTCGTCTTTAGTATTCATAATTCTTTCACGCAAAATGGTCGCTTGTTGTGCAACACTAAAATAACTTCAGCACGCGTTATTAAAATTTAGATAAAATATAATATTAATGAGGTTTTAAAATATTATTTACGATATGTGATATAAATGATAAGTGCAAAAGTGAGATAAATTGCTAAACGGAACTTATACAGTAAAATAAACAATTACGTGTTATAGAAATATAATTTAAATGAACTGATAACAACTGAAATATTTACTATATAATCTTTAAATATGTTATTATAAAATGTAAATTAGAGAGATTGTTCTTAACTTTGATTTCATATAAATAAAGCGTGCTTCATTCTTGCTTTGCAACCTAATCGACGGATGTGATGTTGACTTATACTGGATAATTTTTACAAATAAATATTGTTTTACGTCGTAGAAATATTTATAATGGAATGTCATCACAATTGCCAGACAAGTACCATAATTCCTTTTTTTTTAAATACTATCAAGTGACGGGACGAACAAGTCGTGCACCTGATGATAAGCTACACGCCTGTCCGTAACAGTTGCAGTGCCACTAGAGCTTTAAATCGCAACGATCTGAGGGGCACGCCACTGCGCCTGTCACCCCAACATTCTGAATCTGATTGTTGAATATGATTCTTATATGTTCTTCTTAAATTCTTCAGTGTTATACACCAGCCCGTTACACCAAGTACCAAGTACCATCTAAGATAATCGACGCCCCGATATCATTGAAACGTTATTTCATATTCAGCTCAGTTGACACATAAACCATTCTAAATTAATAGGGCTCGGCGCCGCGCTACGATAAACAACCGCCAATTTTACGCTCGAATTATTTCAATGTCAATGACAAAGGACTGTAGGATTGTATGGAGCAATTGATCTTACGTTTGACAAGAAACTATCAATTTTGTTTACTTGATTACCTTTACATGTGTTGGTTTAGTGTGAAGATGGCTTATGTAACCAGAAAGCAGTTAAAATGGGTCAACGGTCAGCAAACACCATTTTCTCGTAGTCAAATTAAAGAATTTAAAACGCTCTAGAAGGATCATGGTACGTCCGTAACGTTTGGCAAAACAGTATTGCATACTACTTTTTTTTTAAAAACCTACTTAAAAAGTTTCTGGAATTACACACACACCTAGCCCCGCCGTAGGCAAAACCCTGTCGCGGGTACCATGGATACACACAAATTACACCCAAACTCACGAGATAAGTAAATGTAGGCCATTCGAATATTCTTCCCGGCCCGGGAAACGAACCTGGGGCCTTACCATGAAGTCTTATTACGATTCAGTTTAGAACTTGACTTGAAAATGAATCGTTGTGAGACAGCGCTATATGAAGTGTATATCATCATTCCGCTTTTTAGACGATACGACCCTGTACTGAACTGTAATAAGAGTTCATGCTAAGGCCCCTGAGACCTCTGTGTGGCAGACCTGCATTGCAACCATTCAGCCACGGAGACAGTTTACGTCTATTTGCCAGGTTTTATTGAAATCGGTTAATCGGAAAGTAGGTGATATCCAATAAATCGGATTCAATCCCTAATTTGCCATTCTTAAGAGGTGGAATATTTCCTTCAAATTTTAATGGGACCACTGCTGACTTATCCCCTTTTCAACAAAAAAAGAATCGTCTAAATCGGTTCAATTTGCTAATGTCAGAATAATCGCGTAAAATACACAAAAAAATACACTTGAACTGTTAACCTCCATTTTTTAAATCCGTTAAAACGAATAGTAAGATATCGTCGCCTTACTTACTTAAAGTCGTATCTTAAAGCACAAGGTTACCGAAATTCTAGAAATTAATTGTGTACACAAATTTTGCAGCCCGATTTCACATCACATTTCTTTCATATTCATACACTGGCTTTTACCTACTCTTAAAGTATTCCATCCAATTGAACACCCTTGATAAGAAATTTAAAATAAATAGAAAGTTTTGCAGAAAGTAAGGCGACGATATGTCAGGAATAATAATAATAACGCACACACTCAACATAGCCCCGCACTAGGGAAACCCTGTGTCGCGGGTGCCATGGATACACACATAGACAATCACAAATTACACCCAAACTCACGAGAGAAATAAATGTAGGCCATACAAATATTTCTCCCGGCCCGGGAATCGAACCTGGGACTTCTCTGTGGCAGTCCGGCATGGTAACCGTTCGGCCACGGAGGCAGTTCAT